GGGGGGGAAGGACGGAGAAAGGAAGGGGAAAGGTAGACGGACGAGGGGAAGGGGGAAGAGAAAGGGAAAGGTGGAAGGACGAGGGGAAGGGGGAAGAGAAGGGGAAAGGTAGAAGGATGGAAGGAAAGGGGAAAGGAAGGCAGGGGGAGGGGAATGGCGATGAGGTTAGGGCAACGCCTACTCTATAATAAAGCTAGCGTTGGGCTGGGGGAAGGAGCCAGGTGCCTTCTAGGAAGCAAGGTTGAATCTGAAACTGAAAGTAAAACCGATGACTAATTTTAGAGGCCTCCCATTTCCGTGCTGCGCAATCTGCTCCCCCCTCCCCCTCCCTTTTCCACCCGAATGATTTCGTATTCGTCATTCCTGCTACCTGGCGGTGTCCCATTCAGCGGCCACAATTTAGTGTTTGTGCCGCCCTTGATAACACATAGCATGTCCTGTCGTTACCGTAAGTTGTCTTAAACTAACAATACACGCTTGTGTTTGTGATGTTTGGTTTGTGTAGTGACCGACGAAGAACAATAATACGAGTAGTAATGATAATGTTATGATTATGATTATGATTATGATTATGATTATGATTATGATTATGATTATTATGATGATGATTATTATAATTATTATTATAATAATTATTATTATTGTTATATAGTAGGGCTGTACCCCGGTAGCAAACCCGCTCGTGCTTGCAAGCCCCTAGTTCAAGTCACAAGCCTCAAATTACTAGGTCAAATCATCAAATCAAACCACCAGCATGATAAGTTGAGTCTAGCGCAAACTGTAACCTCCTTGGTTTAGTGTAAACTTCAAGTCCGCAGCTACTAGCAATCCGCGAAGTCACTCGTGTCAGGCCCCCTCATCATCCCCACCCTGCTTGCAATCCGCGAAGCCACTTACGTCATAAAAAGAGAGAGGGGGAGAGTGAGAGATCCCGCCCACAATGTCACTGCGTGGCGTTGCGCTGTAGTTTGCTCGATTAATCGAAGGCTTGCACAAAGCAGCGGACAGACCTCAAGCCTCAAATCCCGTCTGCAGCCACAAGTCCCACGATTCACACAGTACTGGACCGCTCGATTTGTTAAGACTGCAGTACCGCTCGCTGTGTGAACTTTGAACCGTGGAGGAAGGGAGAGGCTGGGCTTGTTTTGGTGCAAGCGTGGTCTACGTATCACGAAGGCCACGGTGCAAGACGTAGAGAGCTGAAGTTATTTTTAACTTCCCGCCGTTGATCAGCTAAGCGAGTGGATAAGTGAGAGGGAGCGTGGTATTGTAGTAATAGAGACCTAGGTTTCTGGTAGTAATAAGAATAAGTAGACTTAGATTACCCTAGAATGGAAAACTCCAGGGGTCAGTAGTAGTAGTATAAGGTTTTACGGCGCTCGCAACTGCTAAGGTCATATGAGCGCGCGAAACACAAGTTGTTCGCCTCTGCGAAAGTTCACTTCACGACTGGTAACTAATTTACTTTAAAATGCTAAAAAGTTAAAATATTCAAATTCGGTGTAAATACATTTGTGATCTAAAACAACTTTTAAGTAACAATAAAAATTTTTAATAATATCAGATTCACTTTACAACTCGCCATAAAGGCCAATGGCCTTTATAAAATTTAAAATTCTGCAGGGAACAACGACGGAGAAAATATCCTGCAATTTCTTGCATTTATAATATTTCCTTCGGATCTCTCCAAAGTCTAGACATTCTGTTCGCTGTCGGAAAACGTGGTCGTGGGCGTCATAAGCCAGAAGTAAACGACAACAACATCATCATCATTAACAACAATAACAACACTATAATAAAAACAATAAGAACAACAACACCATTATAATAACAACAGCAGCAACAACAACAGCAGCATCAGTACGCAGTAACATCAGTAAAACAACATCAAAGTAACTGGCCATCATTGAATCACCGCCTTGACCACCACCCATAGACGACAACGACAAAAACATCAATAATAACACCACCACCACCACCAACAACAACAACTACAAAACAACAACAACATCAATATCAACAATAACACCATCACCACCACCACCAACAACAACATGAACAATAACTCTAACATTAACAACAAAATGCCTGCTTTCGGCGGAAATGCAGGTAAGCTTTCTCTCTCTCTCTCTCTCTCTCTCTCTCTCTCTCTCTCTCTCTCTCTCTCTCTCTCTCTCTCTCTCTCTCTCTCACACACACACAGGAAGAAACGACGCGAAATACAAGGGGAAACAATCTTTGGCGAATAACAATTAACATTAGTGGAAGGGCACTGCAGGCCAGACAACGAACGCAAAAAAATTTGAGGAAAGTGAGGCGGAACGAGCCGGGCAGGGGAGAAGAGAGG